AAGCGAGATAGTTCAAGAACGCGGTCGTTGCGATCATCAAAGTCTATCAAGAGGAAACAAAAAAAAAAAGCAAAAGCGACGGTGATGAGGAAAGGACCACTTTGAGCTTAATTTTCAACTCACCAGTAATTCCAAAGAACTCTTTCTGCAGATGCGCAGTTAGGACTGGAGAAGGGAGCTCTCTGAGGTATAATTTTAGCAATCCAGACACTGTGTGCGCGTCAAACGTTTCCGTCGTTAAATTGACCAAGTCAACGTCCCCTTCCGAATTAAAAAGCATTTTGAGCTGCTGAATTGCGTTCGTAGACCCGGACAGCCGATAAATTCCTTCTTCTTGAGATGCTAAAAAGGAGAAAAACAGATGAAGTCAATGATCAGGGAGGTTTTCAAACCACTGGTTGAAGACGTACCTTTAACATGGTCGAGATATTCTAGACACCGATATATAATTGCTGGCAGTTCCAAGTCATCACTAATGCGAGACACCGCAATTGCATGATCGAGCGTCGCACCAAATATGATCCGACTCGGATCTGATGCACGCGGGGCATTTTCTGGGAAGAAAGAACACCCTTTAAAAAACCTACAAACTTGGCAGCACTTTTTACAAACCATTGCCAATCTTCTTTTTTGCGAACGCGTTCCTCATATTCATCAATCCTTTTACTGCAGAATTTGAACCACCCATCATGAGACTGTTGCCACCGACCGAGATCTGCGAGTTTTCTTTTCCCAAGGGAGCGGCCACACTCGCAAACAGTTTTGGCAGCGGGCGAGGGTTTTGCTGCATCGCTCGTGCATTGTCATCCACAGAGTTCTTCACGGCGCCTGCGGCTACAGTTGTGGTTGCAAAGTGGTGCGCACCCAACCCAGGATGCGATCCAGAATTCATTCCCAACCCTGAAGTACCACTTCCACCGCCATTACTAAGAGATCCTCCACTCACTGCAATGGGAGTTGGATTACCCACAAGAGTTGAATGTGATTTCGACGTGCGCGGACTGCTGGCTGTCAACACTCGATGAATGTCCACAGGCCCTGATGACATTGGCAAAAGGCTGCTCATTGATTTTTCTGGAATTCCTTGTAAATTGCGCGCATCAATGATTTGCTTCGATAGGACGGCGACCCATTCGTCGCGTTCCGCATCATCATCCGCTGCGAGAACGTGGCGATGGGAGATCTTCTTATCCTCTGGGGTTACATCCAACGGGACAGGATAAAATTCTCTGTAGAATTCAGTAAGAACGAAGCCGTGGGCTGATTTGGCGTCATTTGGTGTGTTTCGAATCGGGCTGACGTGGCAATGCTTCAAAGAAATTGTTGAAAGAATGTCTCGTTGTGGCTGTTGCATTCAGGAAAAATGGGTTATTGGGGGGAGCCATGAACTCAAGAAAAGACGCGTTTTCGTTACCGCATCTGCAAAGTCCAAAAAGAAGGGTTTGCATTTAAAGTACTTTGGCTTCCAGCCTCCAAATGTACTTCCGCGCTTCATCAGATACCCTTCCTTCAGCACGCTGACATCAATGGAAGATCCAAGCAATCCATCAATATCTCCTGCTTCTGAGCTACCACCATTTCCGCCAGATGCCAGATTCGGTATTGAACCTGATGCAAAACTGACGCTGTTTGTAAGAAAATCCAGTAAATCTCCGGAATCAGGAGCGGCGTGCATTATGCGTTGCAGGTACATTTCGAGTCCAATCTGTGGCCAAAATAAAATAAAACGAAGCATCAGATCGATTTCGCAAAGAAAAACGACGAAAAGGAATCATTCACCTTCCGCTGGTCACTTTTCAGCGGATTCACTGAGGTAAATAGCTGCTTGTCGGGTAATTTCCCAATCGCCGTCACAACAGGTCGCGTAAGTTTTGATTTGAGCTAAACAGACCGAAGAGGAGACATCGAACATGGACAAGATATCAGCCCATGATCAACTATACCATGCTGCTCAAGTGGAAAGCACAAACCTTGGTATCGAGATGCAAGAAATCCGAATATCTTTTCTCAATTTTCCATTCGTCTCCAGATTTGTCCTTTCGCACCATGAAAAAGAATAGCGTCCCATCTGTGCCGCTCCCTTGAAACGAACTTCCCGCAATTCGGACGTGGTATTCGTCGCCGGGGCTTAAAGATATGTTTGCAACGTTCGGGGTATGCTGAGTAGATTCGACGACTTCTGAATGTGTTGCGGATGCCAGTGTGGCAGGAACATGCCGAATCGTTCTGCGCGACAGACTACTGTAGGGAGAGTGTGTGCTCTGATGCGTGTCTGCAGAGGGGGATGATGAACGCGGGGGAGTATCGCCGCCACCCCTCCGCAACTTGTCAAACTCGGCTGGAGCAAGGATGGACGATGATCTCGATGGATGGGGCATTGCAGCAACTGACGCCGAGGGTCTGATGTAGTGGGTCAGCTCATCCCCAGTGTCCGGCGCAACGCCACCTCCAGCATCGTTATCTGACACATCAACACTGCCGCCGCCACCACCAACATCAGTCTTCAAGCTCTCAATCAGTGTTTTCTGTCTCTCAATCACTGTCCACAGCTTTGCATTCTGCACGCGCAAATAGTTTCTCTCACGAACTGCGAATGCGACTATCTGCTGTAGACTGTTCCCCGCCCGCGTGTGTGCCGTAATTCCGCCGCTGATGTCTCCGTCGTCGAAAGGGTCGCTTTCAAGCGTTGTGAAGCTCGTTGTTCGACGCCGCGCCAGGGATTCATGGGACATTTTTCAACTGATTTATTCAAGTGGAACAAAAAGAAGCTTGCCGCCAGACTTCTTCCGCTTGGACCCGGTCTCCTCTGCTGTTGTCATTGCATTTTCTGCTGACGAGCGCATCAGGCGGTGGAAATCATGACTTTTCTTTTTTTGCTATGCGGTAGTTTGAAATGCGGCAGAGACTTCAGTTCCGCAGGTATTCTCGGGGCAATGCTTCCATTGTCAAAACTCAACTACACATTGCTGCGTGATTGATGTGAGGCAACGCCTTGAACAGCACACAAATGGCCTCCCGTTCATTACTTGAAGGGGCTACCACATAATTTGATTGCATTCTAGCAGAGAATCTCACCTGCTCCTGGCGAATTTTCTGCCATCTTTCACTGTGACCAGTCGATCCAGCAGTCAACTATTCGGGACCTTAGTGTCCAGGCATCCTCTCAGCAGTTCCTCTTTATTTTCAGCAATTTTCGCCGAAAACACGGCGATAACCATCTTTCTGGTATCTAGCAGAAGCCCACCGTGCTTAATACACACATTTGAGTCAGTGACCTATTCAGTCATGCGCTACTGGCACTGCCAACCAACGAACATCCAACCATTCTTGGCTTCATTTGTATGCACGTTAGCTTGGTTTTATAGCAGCAATACAAGCTCCAATGCTCACCTGTCACTTTATTCCTTTTCAATCAAAAATATCAAGTTGCAACAAACTTGTCAGAGTAGTTTGCCTCGTCCCATCTTCTCCAGTACCTTTCCTAAACTACCACGGCGCTCTAGTTCATCTATCCATTGCCATCACTCCTTCCGCCTTTGCTACTTGAATTCTGCATCAAACTTAACAAGGTAAGAATAGATTAGTCTGTACGCACTTTGAAAATGGCCTCAGCGATATAATTCGATCACGGCAAATTGGATAAAAGTCTTTTCATTTCTTCGAGAGCCGGTAGCTTAGCTTGAAGTTCGCATCAGTCATGGTTGAGAGTAAGTTCTAGTAGCACTTGGGGCACTTGAAGGTACCTGGTGTTCTCTAACGCGCCACGGATCTGCTGCATGCGGTCATCCAGTGCATCTTCATCTTCATCGTCATTGCCGTGAGCCTGTCTTGCTAGTCGCCGCAATGTCCTTATGTCCATTTCTTCCCTCAGGTACGAGCAGCTCCGCTCTTTCAGTGGTATGGGGCATTTTATTGACGATTTTTCCGGTTCAGGGACTCAATTCGAAGAAACAATCCAAGAAGCAGAACAAAATTTTTTTTCTTCCGTTCCTGGATCTCCACCTTGAAGAATTGAGCAAGAATACGCGCTCAGTCAATGCGGATGCTTCGTCCTTTCCCGCTCGCTGTGTCGAGTTTGCGCAACTCCACAGCCAAAACTCCGTTCTCCATCTTGGCTTGGACAGTGGAAACATCAGCATCCACAGGCACGCAGAGTTTCACATCAACGCTTCTGGCGCGTTTCCAGCTGCTCGAAGTAGCGTCTTCGCCGCCTTTCTTGCCAGTGATCCAGAGGACTTGGGTAGAGTCCAAGTGGACCAAGGTCAGCTCATTTCTTGTGAACCCAGGAACGTCCAGTTCAAACATGTAGCCTCCGTCTGGAGTAGCGACTGGCTCTAAAACGGTTTGCTGTTGTTGCGGGTTGTTGAAGAGACTGGTACCACGTGCGTGTGTGGCGGAACGAGATCTGAGCGTGTTGTATTGGAAGAATGGAAGATCAATCACGACCCCATGGAACACTGTCGAGAGCGTGGACTTCAATGCGTCTGCGCCGTATTTACTACGACATCAAGGTGTAAGTTTGTGGCACAAGTGTCGAAGGGGCGTCTCTCACCGCTTCATCCATTTGATGGTGAGTTTCGAAATAACGATTAGCAGAGCCGAGTTCCAAAGGAAGGAGAAGAGTCCCATTTTTCAAGTTAAGTTGTGTTATTTGTGTGGAATTCCCCATGCTGATGCCCCCTGCTTTTATGAAGCTGCCCTTTCATTTCTGACAACGTGGCACTTGCCAGAGTGATCAAAAGGTTCCACGAAAAAAGATTTCCCCCACACATATCTGGTGGCCCAGGGGGGAATGACAACAACCTTTCCAAAACACAAGGCATCCGTCATATAACCTGCGGACATTGTTACGAACGCATTCACACAGAGCCTTTTGGATTCGCGTCCTTCCATTTGTGAGCTCCAACAAAAGCAACGTCAACCGGAATCAGAATCATCAACTTTTGCACAGTGATGGTGGAATATGAGTAGAAAGAAAAAAAACAAACCGAATGAAAAAGTGCCTCAGGCCGGGATTGAACCGACGACCTTCTCCTTACGAGGGAGACGCGCTACCGCTACGCTACTGAGGAATTGCGAAAATGTAAAAGTAGACTTTATAGAAAGTTATTGCCAATTCAGTAACTGACGCGTTTTATAACACCACTGACAGACAATATAGATGACCTCGTTGGGAAGTGACTTATTTTCTCTATTTGGATTCTGAAGATGACTTGTGGATCGGCAATTGCAAAAGGATGCGAAAATCCCAAGTTGCGCCGTCACCCTCCGTCGATCCGCTGTCCATCCAAGGTCTCCCATTCTCGCACTTTCACGTGCTTATAAACGAATGGGGCGGGAAAGAAGCGGTCGCAGGAATGAGTACGGCAAAAGTGTGCGAAACGTTCATCAAGCCAATGACGCGTGATGGGGGAAAATCCCTGTGCGCAACATACGCAGAGGGTTGCAACATTCAACGACAGGGTCTCTTGGGCAAGGCAGACTGGTTTGTTTCGCACTCTTGGGGATCACCATTCTTGGACACGGTGAACGCGCTGGACGACTTTTTCACCGACAAAGGGTTGGACTTGGACAAAACGATGGTTTGGTTTGACTTGTTTTCAAACGGGCAGCATGATACTGGATCCAAGCCGTTTGATTGGTGGAAGACAACGTTTTTACAAGCCGTGGAAGCAATCGGACGCGTGGTCATGATCCTGATGCCGTGGCGGGACCCGGTGCCCCTGAAGCGTGCGTGGTGCGTGTACGAGTTGTATGCATGCCACTTGTCAAGAAGCCGTTTTGAGTTTGCTGTCACGCGTGCGGAGAAAGCCGCGTTCATGGACTGGCTGTTTTGGCACGTGGAGTCCTTCTTTCTGGAGCTTCAACAGGTGGGCTGTGCTCAGAGCCAAGCCACGAAAGCGTCCGATCGGAAGGCCATCTTTGCAGTGATCAAGTCTGGCATTGGATTCGTGAAACTGGATCTGCTGGTCTTGAACACTGTCCGAGAATGGGTCCGGATTCAAATTCAACGTAAAATCAAGAATGAGCCATCTGTCAGCAGGGGCTGGCTGCAAGTTTATAAAGAGTTCAGGGAGGTAGAGAACGCGTTTGACGACGCGGTGCGACGTGCGACGAAGTTGTTTGGCACTAGGAACCCGCATCTGCTGAGGTTTGGAAGTTACGGCATGACCAGGGAGGAGTCCATCGAGCAAAAGACAGTCAGACTGAGCAAGATAGTGCGTAAACAGCGCTGGCAGAGTTGGAAAAAGAGATTCGTAATTTGCGCGAGAAAAGAAGATTGAGCTGAAACTGAAATGCAGAAAAACGCTCATAGAAATAGAACAGCCGCTCTTAAAAAATAATTGTTTTATGTTCTTGCGCCTATTTCTCCCAACAAACAGGACTCCTTTTTTCACAGGTTGGTAGCTGCCCGCCACGGTCTGCAGAATGGTGTTGTTAACACCCCCTTGTATCGACGCGCGTATCTCTGACTTCAGCATTTGCACAATTCCATCAAGTCCAGCTGACATCGCACTCTTGAAGCAAATGGTGTCCATGACCAGCGCAGTATACTGCATACAGCATAAAGAAAATTTGAGTTGTTGCTTCCAAAGATTGCGAAACTCGAAACGAATCGCCATGGCAAGCAAGTGCATCCCACTGAATTTGCTTTGAAACCATCGTTGATTGATGCGATTTCCGGACAAGTTCTGCATGTGGATTCTGCACGCGTTTTTTCAATGATTGGGTTCCACCACACCTGAGGTATTTATCTTGACCGCAAAAGTGAGATCTTCGTTATATTCCTGCTAATAAACGCAAACAAAACTTATAAACCACGTGAACGGCCATACTAAAACAAGAGAAGTATCCAAACAGAGAGGTGAAGTCAAGAGAAAAAACAAATGCATAAAGGCTCAGGATGGGATGTCAGTCCGACAATCCCTTCACTCAAAGCAAACGCAAAAAAAAAGACAGCGGGCGACTACAACACGGGAAACCAGCATAAAGCCCACTATTAAGATGTTAACTGATGAATTCCGAAAGTCACCAAAAAAATAAAGAACCCAAAACCAGAATCCCACCCAAGCAAGCAATCCAGTCTATCTACATACAAATAAGCTCCCTTGAACGGTGCAATTGCACACACGAGAGAGTTACATGATGCTGTTTTTGCCGCCCTTGCGTGGAGGTGTGATGGGTCTGTTTGCCCCACCATAAAACTTTTGCTTCTTTTCGGCAGGTTTGAGAATCTAAACAAGCGTTATTGTGACAGACGCGGTGAATAATTCAGTTGATTATAATATAATATTGTTTTTTGCAATGCAAGTATTCACCTGGAAGGAGCACATCAGACTCTCGTCGACACTCATCATTGCTCCAGAATTATCAAACTCCCCACAGTAATTAGGAGCACTGAACAGCGTAACAAGCTGTCTTTTTGCAAAAAATTCGTATCCGTCTTCAACCACTTGATGTGCCCGGCAAATCAAATCCAAGTCATGCTTTTGCAAGAAGCGAGTGACAACGTCTGGTCCAAAAGTGAAGGAAACTCCGCGATCATTTTCGCTCCATCCAGTCGTGTCTTTGTTCGGATCAGACCAGAGCAGGTCGCAAAGAAGACCTTGAGGACGCAATCATCAAAAGGAAGATGCTCAATTGGAAGCACGTATCATCACTGCAGCTGTTTCATACCTGTGTCGGGAATATCAGTAGGACGCATCAATCGACGGACTTGCTCCATGGATTGCAAATCAGGCGAAAGACCTCCATGCATTGTGAGAATTTTTTCATCAATAATTGCGGCGATAGGGAGGCAGTTGAAGCAGTCTGTAAACGTTTTCCAGAGTTTGATGTTGTATCTGCGTTTGCCTGAACAAAAAGATTTCCAAAGTTGCTTCAGCATTTTTACTCATGAAAGGAGGAAGGAAGTCAAAGTTTTTTTTTTTCGGATGCCGGTTTATGACGTTCAAAAAAAAAGTTGGCCAACTCACACTCGTCGTAGAATCCATAGATTCTGTTGATACTCGCAGCTTCGTGGTTGCCTCTCAGAATGAAAAAGTTTTCGGGAAACTTGATTTTGTAGGCCAAGAGCAGGCAGATTGTTTCGAGCGAGTGCTTTCCACGGTCGACGTAGTCTCCTAGGAAGAGATAGTTTGCATCGGGTGGGAAGCCACCGTACTCGAAGAGACGGAGTAGATCGTAGTACTGGCCGTGGATATCCCCTTTGGCAACAAATTTAGGAACAAAAAAATCACAAGAGCAGTGGGGGACAGGGATTCTTTCTTCCGTCGCACTTACCGCAGATTTTAATGGGTGCTTCCAGCTCGAGCAGGATAGGCTGACTGATGAATATCTCCCTGGACTTGTTGCAGAGATACCGCACCTCGTGTTCGGCGAGTTGCACTTGACGGCCGGGCTTTCCACCACGCACTATTTGAGTGAGTTTTTATCGTTGGGCTGTTTAGCGAGTGGAAACGGGAACAAGGCAGAAGACACCCCCATATGGCATCTGCAGCCCTCTCCGTTCGCTCTCCTGCGATCACGGCCGGCATCAGCAGCTCAACAAACTCGCTACGTACCCTCGAGTAGCCGGTCAATCACGGAGTCGATATCGATTTCTTGGTTGGAGTCGTCGGCCATTTTAACAATTTCACAACTTTCTTAACTTTTAAAAATTGTTGGCTTCTTTTCCTTCTTCATTATTCACCCAAGTTTACCACCAGTGCCTGATCAGGCACTTTTCGCCTGCTTTTCCAAGGTCACTGCTGTTGCGCTTGGCGTGGTCCATCAGAGTGCGTGCCATTGCCTGGAAATAAAAAAGAGAGAGAAATGCTGTCAGTGCCTGCCACAGTTGTGTGCGGTCGCTCCTGTGCATCTTCCCAAACGGTCAAAAAGAAGACTAACTGAGCATGGGTAGGAACAGGAGATACTATAAAACCTTGTATTTGGAAAAGAACCAAAGCTCAACATGAGCTCCATTCAAAAAAGAACAGAGAACTTAATCGTCCTCATCCATCTCATCCTCGCTATCGCCTTCTTTGTCATCTTCGACTCCAGTAAACTCTTTCCGCTTCACGTCTGAAGTGTCGTCCACGCCTCTGACAACCCTCCGCACACTAGCGTTTCCTTCCAAATTCCAGACCATCATTTTGCCGGCACCACCAGCAACACCGACAACCATATCATCATCCGGACTGAAAGCAGCTGAATACACTTTGCCGACTTGCAAATCGCGACTGGCAAGACACTTGATGGCCGTTGCATCCTTTGTGGACCATACTTTGGTGGCTTTGTCCGTACTTCCAGTAACAACAAGTCCATCGACTCTTGAGCTCACGTCCAGAGCGCTGACGGCGCCATCGTGCGCGTGGATTGTGAAGACGGGGGTTTTTGGGGACCGACCGTCAAAACATTTCACGATTCCGTCTTCAGTGCTAACAAGGAAGCGTTCAGGGTGAAGCGGGTCCCATTTCAGGCATTCGACGTCTGCAGTGAGTTTGAAGCTCAGCACGGAGGCAGGTGTACGTGTGTCAAAGATGTGGGATTGTTTGTCGTATCCACCAGACAAAAGAACTTGTCCTTGAGATGGGTTCCATGCTGTAGATGAAGTAAATGCTTAGAATTTCATATGCCCTTCATTTGGTGGACAGAAAAAAAAGCGTCCAAACTTACCCAAGCCTTGCACTTTTGCTTTATGGTTGGTGAAAGAGCGGATGGCGACTTCAGGAGTAGATGAGCTCAGATCCCACAGTTTAATGGTGGTATCTGCGCTTCCGGATGCAAGTAGAGAGGGGTGCATTTTGTTCCATGCAAGACACATGACAGCGTCCACGTGGTATTGGTCACTTGGCTTTTTGGAGCGGCGCTTCTTTTTGCCGGTGCCGAGCGCTTCAGTCGGGTTTGTGGAGCCGCCGAGAATCAGAGTTGGGTAAGAAGCATCGATAACGTCCAGATCCCAAATTTCAATCTGCAAAAAAAAAAATATAACGGTTGTTGGAACGAGAATCCAAAAATGCGAAAACAAAAACAAAAACAAGGCTCGAAGGATTCTCTTACCTCTGGGTCGAACGTTCCAACAGCAACAAAACTCCGCTTTCCTTGCCCTTTTCCTTCGATATCGTAATTCATCCATTCCAGACACAGTGGGAAACTGGGCAGCATGATATCATGGTGCACAAATAGGTTGTCTTCCTCGCCTTCATATAAGTACACTTCGATGTGGGAGATGTCGTCTTCCGTTCGAGCAGCCAAGATCAAGTTGTCTGAAGGAGCCACCATCATTTCCTCCAACTCCTCTGCTTCATTCACGGAGTCATCCAGAGTCACGTAAGGGTCTGCAGAGTCTCCGTCATGGTAAGTGAGTCCCTTGACAGAGGCAAACATGTTGGTGGAATCTGAAAAAAGCCTAATCAAGACTCGGGCAAAGAAAGAAACACGCACAAAGAAGAAACACACCATTTCCCGTCTCTTCTTCGCCCTCTTCGGCAGACATATTTCCGTTGTCGTCATCGCTGTCGTCATCGTCGCCGCCCTCGCCATCACCCATAAAGTCGACATTGTCGTCCTCGTTGTCGTAGTTGTCCAGATCAAACTCTTTAATCACAGCTTCCTCTTCGGTGAGAGCAGCAGTTGGGGTGGCGTTGCTGGCAGCTTTGGTGCTGGTGATGGTGGATGCGGCGGCAGGTTGCTCATCCTTGATGTCCTTAATGTGAGTAGCGATCTTGGACTGGATGGATTCGTACTCCGTCTCGCTCAGCTGAAACCGCGTGGGCGTTTCCTTCGCAGCGCCCTTGGGCACCCAGACGATGCTGCTGATGGTCATTGGAAAGGTGCGTTGCCAGTTATATAAAAAAAAAAGAAAGAAAGAGACGAAATAACATCAAAGAACGAATCCCATTTATTTCATCACATCTATCACAGAAACAAAGTCTTTCTACTACTACTACTGCTTTCCCATTACATGCGTTCAAAGCGCTGTCTCAGCGCTGATATTTCATCACCTTGGTACTTTGCCTCTCCGTCGATACGCTTGACGTACGCAAACATGGACACGAGCAACTCATTCTGAGCATCCAATTTCGCGTGGAGCTTTTGCAGGTGGCTTTCAAACTTGGCGTCCAGCTGCGCAATTGTAGTTGCCTGACCCGAAGGGATGTCGGCTCCAGTGCCAGAGGTATAAGAGGAGCTGGATGCAGGAACAGGATCATGCACCGGGTACTGTCCATCGCGATTGTTGCGGTTGGAGTGTGAGGGGGTAGGGATTTGCGGGATATTGTGTGCCGCCATTAAGGGGCTCGTTGGTGGGATTTGCTGGTCGCTGGCGCCTTGTCGAGAGGACGGGCGGCTTCTTCCGTACAAGGAACCCGACTGGTTCTGGTAATGCTGCTGGCTGGAAGTCTGTGGAGGGATTGGAGGTGAGTCACCTCCAAAGTGGATGGATGAACTCTGAGCATGCGCCCTGTTTGCGTACGACCCTTGCGCGCTGTTGGGTCTCGTGCTTGAGGGAGAGGTCGGTGTTGGGGATGGTGGGTTGTCTCCTCCAAACATGACGGAGGAGCGGGTCGCAGATCCAGTGATTCGTACCATCAAATGTCAATTTGCAATGCGGTCAAAAACACAAGCAAGTCTCAGACACCTTCATAGTAATCTGTTACAACATGAACACCTCATAGTCTTTGCACCCGGCTCTGCCTTGAAACGCGCAGCCAAGTCCATCTGCTTGTTGCGTGCGGAAGAAATAGTGCTGGTTACATGGTTTGCCGCAATTGCCCGAGACAACGTCTGTAGCAAGAAATCTGTTTGGCGCGGTATGGAAACGGTGTGGATGCGTGAGTGGTACATATAATAGATTGTATCTGTTGGCTATGGTACAGGGGAGAACTGATGAATGCAGGGAAGCAGTGATAGATTTCCTTTACCTTGATGAGCAGACGCGACGATCGTCTGACAGCAGAGAAGTCACCTTCATCTCAAAGTGGTATGGAGTCAGCAAGGTACAAGAAAGCGGATGCAGTTCCTGACTCAGCTTGACCACCAACACAGAACCGACGGAACGAAGCGTCACCCAGCACATTATAGAATCTATATATTTAAAACAAACATAATCTTCATCGGAGGGTTAGCGCAGTGGCAGCGCATCAGGCTTCGAACCTGAGGGTCGTGGGTTCAACCCCCACATCCTTCGATCCTTTTTTACTTCTTTACCAAGGTGGCCGAATGAGTTGACTTCTCTTTGCTGTTGAAATGGAGAGAAACCATCGAGCAGACAGGAAGATGCATACATACGAGCAGTCCTTGCCGTGATTCCGTCTGGGACGAAACAACGTTTCAGTCGAGATTAAAAGTCAAGGTCAATTTGGAGCAGCAGCTTTTATAAACACCGCAAAAAACCAACTGATGAGTCGAGTTCCGCCTGGAGGCCACTCCACACTCAGTTTCGGATACGACGCACCTGCGCCCGCCACCAGATCCGAGCAGCGTACGAATCCACTGCTCGGCGGTGGTGCCGATGGCGAAAGACAGCCTGTGCGCAAGCCTTCTTACGGGGCTTCGCTGCGTTCCAATGTGCCGCTGGGAACTGCGTCTGGGGAGATGGAGGCTATGGCTGCACCTGTGATGCGTCGTTCTCACTGTGAGTACCCCGTGCTTCAATATGGGAAGAAATTGATCTGACTTGATCTGGTGACCATTCCAGCCGCAAAACCAACCAAGAGCAGGGTCTTTGGGGATGACTATGATGCAGCGCCGGCTCAGCCTCAATCTGTAGCAGCTCCAGCACCAAACCGTACACAATCCTCCGCGATCCCAGTCGAATCCGAAGTCAAGCCATTTACACCGGGAAAACGCATCCTCAAAACCGCCGCCAATGCGCAACAAGAATCGTCTTTGACATCAGACGAAAAGTTTGTTCCAGGGTTACGTCAATCCAACAACGGCAACAGAAACCAAAGCTCTGTTGATCTCGCTCTTGAAGGCCCGTCCAAGTCCGTCGGCAGCCGTTTGCCGTCTGGACGGCACTTGAAATCAGTTGTTGCTGCGAACCAGATGCAAAGCACGTTCAAGTTTGGAGATGACTCTCCGCGGGCGCCCGACTTCAGTCCCAAGAAGTTCAACAGAACTGGTGTGAAAATGTTGAATCCTGAGGTGACGGGGGTTGCTAGAAAAAAGAGTTTGGCCGAATTCACTGGATTTGAGGCTGTAGGAGCTGGTGGAAAGAATGCCGCGGCGGAGAGAGTGGACCCAGCCAGCGTCGAGACCGTTGCCGGTGCTTCGACGGGCAAGCATCGCGTTTACTGAGACGCATGTTTTGTCAAATGGAGAATGTCGGGTGCTGCTGAGAGGTGCTTGCCAAAAAGTATCATTATTTTCCTTCTCTTTTTCCCTTCTTTGTCCCTTCTAATTTCACTTTTTGGGTCGCTCATTGCTTGTTTCAGCTGAATAAAATGCTTAATCGTTACTTTCGTTTTCTTTGCGCAGAGCATGCTCGCGTGCAGTCCGTGTAGTCTGTGTTGGCGTTGGGGAGGGGAGATGTGTCAAGTGCTTCTCGATCGATGACAAATAAAATGATAACCATCCAACCAACACATCATGCGCAACCTCCCAGTCGAACTCGCGCAGAAAATCCTCGTCCAAACTGCCGTGGATGCTGAGTCGCTCAAGCAGGTCGGCCTCGTTAGCCGGTTCTATGCGGCACTCGTGTTTGCACAGGCGCGGTTTGCGCATGCACATGTTGTCCACCAGATGGGTCTCCTCTGCCTGAATCGGACAAACGATGGTGCTCCCGATGCATCGACGGCGCTAACGTCGAACTGGGCGGCACTGCCTATAAGTTACAAGGTGCGGTTGAACACATTTGTAATCATACACACACTCATGCCTACCATCACATTGACTCCGACGCAAATACGAACCGCTGTGTGACGCTTAAATGGGGAACATGTCAAACAGACGGTGTTGGTTTCGATGCACTGCACACTCAGAATTATCCTCGATCCGGCGCCCAGCGCTATCACGCTCTCTGCTGCGGAATCTCTTGCAGTTGTTCGTGAGGTGCATACTTACTTTGACTTTCTGCATTTCAACGAGACTGCGCCAGCGCTGTTTCTGATTCTGTGCGAGGTTGGACATGCGGATGCCGTTCTTTACCTGATGCAAGCAGCAAATACCAATGTTGAGAATGCGATGGTGAGTGAGAGTGCAGTGGAAGACCCTCTGGCAGACAGGGGCAAGAGTGAGGTTCCTTATCCACTGGACTACAGTGCTGGGCTTGGGCTATGCAGTGAGCAGGGACACACGTCGCTCGTTCAGCATCTTCTGAAACAAGCCGAGGTGGATCCGAGTCAGAACGAGTCATATTGTCTTCGAATGGCGAGCGAGAATGGCCACGAACAAGTTGTTGCATTGCTGGTTCAAGACGCACGCGCAGACCCAAACGCTGTCGACAACGCAGCGGTTCGATTCGCGGCGCGTTCCGGGCACGCGCGCGTTGTACAAATTCTGCTTCGCGACACGCGCTGCGACGCACGCGCACTCAACTCGTACGCGCTTGTTTGGGCGTCGAGAAAAGGCCACTGCGACACTGTGCGCATCCTTATTGATGCAAACAGCGTAAATGTCAGCGCAGATGACGACGCAGCGTTTCGAGCTGCGTGCGAGTATGGGCATGTGCATGTCGCGGAATTCTTGCTGCAAACTGGTGCAGTCGATCCGTCCGCAGACATGGACTATGCAATCAAATGGGCCTGCAGGAATGGACATGAACAAGTTGTCCGGCTATTACTCGGCGATCCTCGGGTCGATCCCACCGCCGACTTCAATTACCCAATCCGGTGGGCGGCTGAAAAGGGAAACATGCCTGTGATCAAACTACTTGCACATGATTCTCGCATTTCGTTTCAGGCACTTCCCGTTGCTGTAAGATGGGCCTCTCGGGCGCAACAAACCCACATTGTGGATTACCTGGTAAACACGTTTGGCTTGTATGACCTGCTGGAGTAATCTCATTCAAATAACTCATCATCTGCAATAAAATTAACTTCCTCTTCTCCCAACATGTATATTCTACAAAATCTGTGAAAAAATGAGAACTAAAATCGTCCTTTCTCAAGACCGCTCTTCAGCCTGTCTCACCATCCGTTCTGCATCTCGAGCAAGTTTATCTATTCGGCTCTTCATATCTGGGAACTCGTCAATGACTGCTTGAAAGTCATGTCGCGTCAGTTTATACAAAACGCTGGGCAGAACAGCCATAACGGTTGCTGTTCGCAAATGCCGCGTTATTAGCGATACCTCTGAATCGTTGGGTGTTATTGAGTGACTTGATAAGAATACGCGGACCAACACCCTCCGGAACAGATTAACAACTCACCTCCTATGTATGCGCCATCATACAAACTCACAACCTTGGTTCCATTCACAAACACATTCACTTTTCCAGACAGAATAAAATACATTTCGTTTCCCGAGTCGCCCTGTTTGATGATAAAGTCGCCCGGGATAAAGTACCGTGCGTGAAGAACTGACGCGATCCGGTGGTAAAAAATCTCGTCTCGTCCGTCAGCCTCGTACCGCTGCAAGAAGGGTACCTTTTCAATGAGCCGTTGCGTGTTGTGGAGCGCAATTTCCTAAATGGCCCGTTCTTTTTAAAGCGATGAACATGAGTGTTTTTTCTTTTGTTCTTTACCTCTCTCAAGGATTCATTCATATCTGTCAATAGCGTGTCCTCTTCAAAGAATTTGCCACGGTATTTTGTTTCATAGTAACTAATCAGCTTCTCCTTGGTTTCCTCGCCCAAGTTTTTCCACTTCACATAATCAATCAACTCTTCGATTTTTTGATTATACAAGCGGCCTGACGGGTTGATGGACATGGCTGCTGACGAAACGTATCCGACAAATGCTGCGTACTTCGTTGTTTTAAGAGTCAGTGCTCCTCATTTCCCTTGTTGTTTGATGATTGTTTAGTACTCACCAAAACGGCTCCAACCACAATAAAGATGATGGCAATCGCTTGCTCGGGCGCGGTTTGGGGCCTGTTTATTTGGATCAAATCGCACATTGAGTGACGAACGAAAGTTAAATAAGGTGTTGAACAAAATCGACTTACTTGAACGACATTGGGAAAATATTACCAAGCGCCTGCAAACACACCGAAAAAGAAAAGCGCAAAAAAGTTTCGAATTAATTTAAAGAGTTCGTTCTTTGTGTGCGTTGATATAAGAAGTTGGAGAGGAACGTGTTTTGACTCGTCAAAAAAAGAAAAAAGAAAACACAGGGAAACACAGGATCCATCACCTGGAACAGCGTCCACGTATAAATCTGATACATGCTCGACTCCTTAAATTGCGGCCATATTGCGGCCCAGCCAGTGAAACCAGACTGACGTCCAATCAAGTACATGACACACGCGTCCAGATGGGCCAAGAAAAAGATTCCAAACGCAATCGGCAACACTTTGAAAAACCCCATCCCCATCATCCGTTCCAAGAACAGACGCACTTTCGCAAACAACGCGTTCCTGCTGATTTTTGTGGGGATGCGGTAGATTCGAAGAATACCCAGAAGAAGAAGGAACTCGCTATATTCAACATGCCGGAACATGAATTCGAATGGAACCTGTGGTTGTTTACTGGAAGTAAGCCCAGTAGCAAAAAGAAAAGTCTCGGAGAATTTATACCAGTGAGACAATCTCAAGAATCATACACTTGCGTACCCACGCGTGCATCCATTGATTGAGTGCGGGACGTTCGAGCTCATATTCTCTGAAATTACCCATTGGGTTCACGTTCTTGGGTTGCGGCGTCAGCATATTTGTCAGAGTATCGATGGCAAATAGAGTCGTGGTGCTGTAGGCGCGCAGAAACCCGGTCAAATCGGTGAATACAAAGGGCAGGTGATTGCATACCACAAAGACAGAGAGTTCATTGAAAACGCCGAGAACGTGTGTCTGAAGCTTATAACCAACGGCAAGAAGAAAATCCACAGGACGTAAATCACTGCAGAATATATGGTCAGCGACACATACTACTGATACTTGTCCGAACCATAAATAAAAAAAAACCAACCGGAAATTGCAAAGTCCCACATGGACAGAATGTACGATTTCGGATGCAGCCCGTTGATTTGAAAGCTGATTGCCTCAAAGTCAGCGTCGTCGAATTGGTCCAGGTTTAGAGACCGGCCCTTG